GGCCAGGTGGTTAGGGCGCTTGACTGCCCCTCTAAGGGGCGCGGGTTCGAATTCCCATAACTACCTTCTCTCTAGTCTTTCGCAGTGTAGCTTTGCTCGAAATTCTAAACAAACTACCTAGAATATAAGAGCGACCTTCATTTACATCACATAATCGGTTTATTTTGAGTAGTGTAGCTGTTTCCTTTTACGGAAAAAATTGATGAAGTAATGTTATAATATATTATACTTTTCTCTTCTCTTCTTTTTTTCTTACCAAACAAAGAAAATAATTGCACAGTTTACAGGCATCTTTCTTAAAATGTTTTTATTTAATTAGATACTCTATTTTTTAAATTAAATTCTTTATATATCCGATAAAAAAATTGCTGTTAGCGTCGTTATTTTTGCCAAAGTATAACTGTTACGATCACCCAGTAAAAATCTCTGGATCAGAACAAGGAAATATTACAATTGCTTAGTTATTACAGAGATTATTAAAACACACAGAAACACATGAAAAACAACAGCAACAAACTTACATCTTTGTAGTCGTCCTCATTATAGATGTTAGGGCCTATTTGAAACTTTCGAACGTCTAGCGTTCTTCCAATAAGCATCGGAACAATGAAAGGCAAAAGCAGCACCATCTTTCGGTGAGTTGATGAACGATCTTCGATTATATTTGTCTACGTAAAAAATATTGTACGGTAATGATTTGTATAAAAGCATAAACGACATATCAACACATTCTTTGAACGTAATTCATTTGTCAAAATTTTCTGCTTCGTATTAAAAATGTAAAAGTCGCAGAACACGTTGTCTAGAGGAGTACAAAAAATGAATATGAATAATTTAGCTCAGAAAACGAGGCATGTTCTTATCTTACTATAATGAAGGTTGTCGTCCCCAAAATTATTGTATATTAAAGTTTCTTTTGGTAATAAATCTGAAATTTTAACATCATACGGAAGCAGGAGGTTTTATGATACTGTAATCATCTGTTTACAAATATATTCTGGTTCAAATTTCGATGATTTCTCTTTCATTCTGTTATATATATATATATATATA